CCTGCCCTGCACATCCAGCCCAGCTCCCCTGGACCCTCCCTCTTCCTCACCCCCATCCCATTCCCGTTGGGAGCAGAACCCCTGGCTGTTGTCGAATATCCAGGGATCTCTTCCTGCTCCGTGTGTTCCTCAGCCCCGCCTCCCTCCCGCCTTTTCTTTGTAGAAAACAGGAAGGTGCAGCAAATAAATTTATTTGCTGGGATTAAGGAAACTTTTGAAAAAAAAGAAGTAAATATGGAAAAGTACCGAGTGGGAGGGGGGTGGGTGGGGGAAGCTGGAGTTGTGCAAGCCAGTCTCCTGCTCCGTGCTAGAACCCGGTGCTGGGAGTTGCTTCCTGGATAAATGACTCCTGTTCTGGATCTGTCCTGACTCATCCACATCCCCCCTGTCCCGTGGGACAGGCCACGTCCTGCTGTGCCTCAGTTTCCCTGAAAACCTGGAGACTGGGGGCTTGGATACTCCAGGCTTTTGTGCCAGGCTGGTTTGGGACCCGATTTGGGCGTGGAATTCTTGGCTTCTGATGATCCCAGTGCTTGGGGGGGCAGCAGGGGGGGATATGTTGATTTATGGGCTGCTGCAAGGAGCACGTGGATTTGCTGCTGGAGATGGAGAGGTGGGAAATGTTATCCCTGATTTTTGAGATCATGGGAGAATTAGGGGCTCGTTCTGGCTGGCAGTGAACTCACACTTGGCCCCAGTGCCCCTCTCCTGGTGAAGGGAATCCCTTTCCAACAGGGCCACCTGCTTCCCTCTGGGTATTCCAGTTCTTTGGAGTCGAGTGGATCTGTCAGGAGTGACTTTATTTCTCTTGTCCTTTGGGAGGAACAGCTGCTTCTGGTGAAGCCTTTCCAAGATCTGAGCCTGGTGCTGGCACTGGGTGATCCCAAAGTCCTCCCTCTCTCCTGTTCCCGGGAAGGTGCAGCAGATGGAGGTCCAAGGTTTCATCTCCACCACCCACAGCAGCAGCTTGGGGTGGTTGCTGTTCCCCTCTCCCTGTCCCCAGGGGCTGCTGGGCCCTTCCCAAAGGATGCTCCCTGCCTGCATCCCTCCAGGTGTATCCCAGGGATGAGCAGTGGGAACGGTGTTCCCAGTGCTGACGTCACTCTGTCAGCAGTTCTGCTGGGCTGGGTGAGCAGGGGGACTTTCCCAGTAGGAGTGGGGTTGGGAAATGCTCCCAGAGGTGGGCTGGGATGCACTGGCAAGGCTCAGGCTGCTGGATCCCGATGCCAGGTGCTTCCTGGCCACATGATCCCTGCTCCTTGCCAAGCCTTGCTGGCCCTGGCCTGGTGTTAATTCAGCCACTTGAGAGCTCCTGGGCTCTGTTTCTCCTCCTCCCTCCGGGAGTGAAGGTAAGCACAGGTCCATCCTCACCTGGGGAGGAGGAAGCCAGGCAGGACGGCAGGCTCAGGGACATGGAGAGGGCCTGGGCACATGGAGAGGTCCAGGGGCATGGAGAGGTCTGGGGGATATGGAAATGTCCAGGGAACATGGAGATGTCCAAGGACATGGAGAGGTCTAGGAGATATGGAGATGTCCAGGGGACATGGAGAGGTCCAGGGAACATGGAGAGATCGAGGGGACATGGAGAGGTCCAGGGAACATGGAGAGACCTAGGGGATATGGAGATGTCCAGGGAACATGGAGAGGTCCAGGGACATGGAGAGGCCTAGGGAATATGGAGATGTCCAGGGCACATGGAGAGATCTAAGGATCAGGGAGAGATCTCAGGGACATGGAGGTCTAGGGGATATGGAAATGTCCAGGGGCATGGAGAGGTCCAGGGAACACAGAGAGATCTAGGGAACACGGAGAGATCTAGGGAACACGGAGAGGTCCAGGGAACACAGAGAGATCCAGGGAACACGGAGAGGTCCAGGGAACATGGAGAGATCCAGGGAACATGGAGAGATCCAGGGAACACAGAGAGATCCAGGGAACACGGAGAGATCTCGGGGACATGGAGAGGGACACGCGGCCGGCGCTGCCGGGCACGTTCCTCGGGAGTTCTCCCGTGGGTGTGATGCCTCCCAGCCGTGACTCACCGCCTTCCCCTCCTTCTCCGCAGCCTTTTGCGTGGAAGATGGCGGGTGGCGTGGACGGCCCCATAGGGATCCCGTTCCCGGATCACAGCAGCGACATCCTGAGCAGCCTGAACGAGCAGAGAAACAACGGGCTGCTGTGCGACGTGGTCATCCTGGTGGAAGGCCAGGAGTTCCCCACCCACCGCTCCGTCCTGGCGGCGTGCAGCCAGTACTTCAAGAAGCTCTTCACCTCAGGGTTAGTGGTGGACCAGCAAAACGTGTATGAGATAGACTTTGTGAGTGCGGACGCCCTGTCGGCGCTGCTGGAGTTCGCCTACACCGCGACCCTCACTGTCAGCACTTCGAACGTCAACGACATCCTCAACGCGGCCACTCTGCTGGAGATCCCGGCCGTCAGGGATGTCTGCACGGATCTCCTGGACAGGAAGATTCTGGCCAAAAATGACCAGATGGATACAGTAGATCAAATTGATCAGAGGAACCATCTCAGAGCAAAAGAGTACCTGGAGTTCTTCCAGAGCAACCCCGTCAACGGCCACCAAGGCAGCTTTCCGTGGACCAACCCAGAGTTGAGAGACCTTCAGAGACTGAACTTCCGAGGCCAAGAGGAGGAGGAGGAGTCGAACTGCAACGGCCTGGACTTCTACTCGCAGGCCACCCCAACCGAAAGACCAAAGGCAAGTGACTGTGACCCTGACAGCAACCCGGCCATGTGGCTGGACCGGGAGGAGGAGGAGCCGGTCACCGCCGGCATGTTCTCACCTTCCCAGAACGGACATTACAGCAGCCGTGGCTTGGCCACGCCGGGAGAAGAGGAGGGGGGGACCCCCCGGGGGCCTCTGGACCCGCAGGAAGCCGGCGACTCGCCCGGCTTCATCCCCGCCGGGGCGGAGACGGAGGACGACGCGCGGGAGGTGGACGACTTGGCCGCCAGCGCCCTCCTGCAGCAGATGATCAACTCGGTGGGGCGGCAGCAGCTCGGGGACGACGACCGCAAGGACGACGACGGGGTCATGGATTATTACTTGAAATACTTCGGCAGTTCGAACGAGGGCGACGTCTACCCGTCCTGGTCCCAGAAGGAGAAGAAGATCAGGGCCAAAGCATTCCAGAAGTGCCCCATCTGCGAGAAGGTGATCCAGGGCGCCGGGAAGCTGCCGCGCCACATCCGCACCCACACCGGGGAGAAGCCCTACGAGTGCAACATCTGCAACGTCCGATTCACCAGGTACGGGCTGGGGGGGAAACGGGGGGGCTCACCCACAAATCCGGCTCTTCCCTTGGCTTGGGAGCATGGAGGGCTCTCCCACAAATCTGGCTCTTCCCTTGGCTTGGGAGCATGGAGGGCTCTCCCACAAATCTGGCTCTCCCCTTGGCTTGGGGCATGGAGGGCTCTCCCACAAATCTGGCTCTTCCCTTGGCTTGGGAGCATGGAGGGTTCTCCCACAAATCCGGCTCTTCCCTTGGCTTGGGAGCACAGGGAGCTCTCCCACAAATCCGACTCTCCCTTGCCCCTGGAGCACAGGGAGCTCTCCCACAAATCCAGCTCTGCCCTTGGCTTGGGAGCATGGGGGACTTGCCCACAAATCCAACTCTGCCCTTGCCCCTGGAGCACAGGGAGCTCTCCCACAAATCCAGCTCTTCCCTTGGCTTGGGAGCATGGGGGGCTCTCCCACAAAACAGGCTTTGCTCTTGCCTTGGGAGCACAGGGAACTCTCCCACAAATCTGACTTTCCCTTTCCCCTGGAGCACAGGGAGCTCTCCCACAAATCCAACTCTGCCCTTTCCTCTGGAGCACAGGGGGTTCTCCCACAAATCCGACTCTGCCCTTGGCTCTCCCACAAATCCAGCTCTGCCCTTGACCTGGAAGCACGGGGGGCTCTCCTACAGATCTGACTCTCCCTGGTCCCTGGAGCACAGGGGGCTCTCCCACAAATCCAGCTCTGCCCTTGACTTGGCTCTCCCACAAAACAGGCTTTGCCCTTGCCCCTGGAGCACGGGGGGCTCTCCCCCAAAACCAGCTCGGCCTTTTCCCTCTCAGGTGATTTTATCTCTCCTGCTCCACTCATTTCCATCTTAAGCACCCAAGCTGGGTAGGAAGGCCGGAGCTTTCCAGTGAGACGAGCAGTTTGGGTGTCTGACACTCGAGATGTCTCAAGGGGCCCGTCCTGACAGGCAGTGCCACGCCGTCCCTCTGTCCTGAACAGCCCAGCTCTGCTGGAAACTCAGCCAGAGCTGGGATTCTGAGGAGGCCAAGGGACGTGGTTGGTGGAACAGAGCTGCAGCTCTTCCCCTCTGCGTGGTGGCCGAGGCCAGAGATGTTTGGAAGTGGCTCCGTGGGGTGGTTGGGTTGGAAGGAGGTTGGACCCCGTGCCGTCGGTGTCCTTGGCACACCCTGCCCCGAGCAGCCCCCGGTGCAGCTCCCCGGGGGCGTTGGCCTGGGCCCTGCCTCTAATCAGGGTTCCTGCTCCTTCCCTGGGCCACGGGAATGCCAAAGAAAGGGGATATTGTTTGGATTCCTCCGGTTCACTCCGGTCCGAGCGTCGCCGCGCCGCCTCCTCTCCCCGGGCTCCGCGGCTGCCGTGGCTGTGCCGGGGTGGGGGTCCCACCCTGCTCCCACCCCGGTGTCCCCCAGGCCCTGCCGAGGGGCTGCGTGGGCTGCCTGGCCCAGGAGCCTTCCCTGCCTGCTCCCTGCCTGCTCCCTGCCTGCTCCCTGCCTGCCCAGCCATTCCCAGCCGTGCCAGTGCCCGCTGCTTTGCTGCCAGGACCGGCCCCTCGTGCTCTTGGGGGGTCCACGGGGCTGCCCCCCAAAACTGGTGGGGCCATACCCGTGGGCAGGAGGCCTCATCCTGCCCCTTCCCCTCGGCAGGGCCGCGCCCAGCCCACGTTGGAGAGCTGAGGAATGCAGATAATGGCGGGGGCAGGATGCCAACCCTCCCTCCCCGCTCCCCCGGCCCTGCCACGCGGCACCTCCCTGCTCCGGGGGCCCGGGGTGCTGATCCCACACCCCCTGCACCGAATCCAGGGGCCTGGAGTGCTCAGGAGCAGCGGGATATTCAAGTGCCAGGGGGTGCCTGGCAGCTGGTGCCACTGGGAGTGGTGGCAAGGGGGAGATGGGGGGAGACACAGGGATTTTTGGCAGGGGGAGGCCCGTGGGCAGTGCCACCCCGTCCCTTTTCCATCTCGCCCCCGTTCCGTGGGTTTTGGATGGGGACCTGCTCCCTGCCGGCTCCTGGGGGGGCCTGGCACTGTCTCCCAGCCCCTAGAAACAAGGTGCTTCCCTAAAACCCCCCATTCCAGGCAAAACACAGCCTCCTGCTTCTTCCCACGCCCGGGGTTTGGGCATGGAGAAGCCTGGATGGGGACAGGCTCGGCCTTGCTGTTCCCTGTCACATGTCCTGCCCTGAGCTTGATGTCCCCTCGATTTTATTATTCCTCGGCGTCCCATCAGGAAAACAAATCCCTTCCCCATTCCCTGCGTCCGAGAGCCTGGAAACGGGGGAGCCAGGTGGGGACAAAACAGCCCCTATTCCGGAACGGGGGGGGTTTCGGGGCGAGGCAGGAGGACGAGCCGGGGCTGTTCGAGCCGGGGCTGTTCCAGCCGGGGCTGTTCGAGCCGGGTGTTCCCGGCCACCCCCTGCATTCCCACCCGTTTGTGCTCCCTGCTGCTTCCTGGTTCCTGTGCGGTCACAGGGGGAGGAGCAGCAGCGGCAGCTCCGATAAGGAAGGAAAGGCAGAGAGAGAGAGAGAGAGAGAGAGGGGAGGGGGGGTTTTATAACACGAAATAATTTGAATTTCCAAAGGCCGGTCTTGCTGTGCCGCTGCATCCCCTGGGGTTCCATCCAGGCCACCCCTCGGAGGTGGGCACGACCTTGGTGGGGGTTTGATCCCTCCCTGGAGGTTTAGGGTTTTTTAGGGGCCTGACGGGGTCTGTATCGAGATGTTCCACACAGGAGAGGAGAGAGGGATGGGGCTGGATCAAGGGCAGGGTGAAGCAGGTCCCCTGTGGGGGCGGGAGGGGCTCCTCGATCCCTCGCCACGCGCTTCAGGCCTGGGTTTTTTCCTCCAGGAAGCAGCAGTGGCTCACGTGGCCCTGCTGGCCCCAGGCCCGGCTGCTGCAACTGCCCTTCCCAGGCCTGGCTGCTCCAACTGCCCTTCCCTGGCTCCTTCTGCTCCAGCTGCCCTTCCCTGGCTCCTTCTGCTCCAACTGCCCTTCCCTGGCTCCTGCTCCAACTGCCCTTCCCTGGCTCCTTCTGCTCCAACTGCCCTTCCCTGGCTCCTTCTGCTCCAGCTGCCCTTCCCTGGCTCCTTCTGCTCCAACTACCCTTCTCTGGCTCCTGCTGCTCCAACTACCCTTCCTTCCCTGGCTCCTTCTGCTCCAACTACCCTTCTCTGGCTCCTGCTGCTCCAAGTACCCTTCTCTGGCTCCTGGTGTTCCAGCTGCCCTTCCCTGGCTCCTGGTGCTCCAGCTGCCCTTCCCTGGCTCTGGCAAACTGGGGCTGTGCTGGCCCTGCAGGAGCCAACTGGACCTGGGCTGGGCAATGTGTGACCCCCCAGCCCTGCTCAGACCCCGTACCAGGCAATGTGTGACCCCCCAGCCCTGCTCAGACCCCCTTACCCATGCCCAGCCCTGCACTGGATGATGCTCAGCCCTGTAGTGATGCTTGACCCCATCCTGGGTGGTGCTTGACCCCATCCTGGGTGATGTTCAGCTCTATATTGGATGATGCTTGACCCTTACCAGTGCTCAGCCCCTTACCAGTGCTCAATCCCATACTGGGAGATGCTCAATCCCATACTGGGAGGTGCTCAATCCTATACTGGGACATGCTCAGTCCCATATGATGCTTGGCCTGTCCTCATGCTCAGCCCCACACCAGGGGCTGCTTGACCCCACACCAGTTGATTCTCAGCCCTGTACCAGTGCCCAACCCCACACCAGGCAAAGCTCAGCCTCGTGCCAGGTGAGGCTCAAACCCTGCACTGATGCTTGACCCCAAACCAGTGCCCAGCCCCACAGCAAGTGATGCCCAGCCCTGTGCCAGTGCCCAGCCCCACAGCAAGTGATGCCCAGCCCTGTGCCAGTGCCCAGCCCCACAGCAAGTGATGCCCAGCCCTGTGCCAGTGCCCAGCCCCACAGCAAGTGATGCTCAGCCCTGTGCCAGGGCTCAGCCCTGTCCTGGGAGATGCTCAGCCCTGTACCAGGCACTGCTGTGCCCACCCCACCACCCTGTGCCATCCCCACCCCACAGGCAGCCAGCCAGGCCCCCCAGACCCCCGGGCTGATTGCCCCCCTGTCCCCTGTCCTCTCTCTGTGTAGGACCCCTGGGCTGACCCCTGTGCTCTCCTCTGTCCAACCAGCACCCCAGACTGACCCCCTCTGTCCATCCAACCCCCGCAGGACCCCCAGACTGACCCCCCCTGCCATCCATCCCCCCCAACACCCCCAGACTGACCCCCCCTGCCATCCATCTCCCCCAACACCCCCGGGCTGACTCCCCTCATCCATCCAGCACCCCCAGCACGCCCAGACTGACCCCCCCGTCCATCCATCCCCCCCAGACTGACTCCCCCATGTCCATCCATCCCCCCCTCGTCCATCCATCCCCCCCAACACCCCCAGATTGACTCCCCCATGTCCATCCATCTCCCCCATTCCCCCCAGACTGATTCCTCCCTCTCCCCCCATCCATCCATCTCCCCTAAAATCCCCGGGCTGACTCCCCCTGTCCATCCATCCCCCCCAGCACCCCCAGACTGACTCCCCCTGTCCATCCATCCCCTCCAACACCCCCAGACTGACTCCCCCTTGTCCCCCTGTCCATCCATCCCCTCCAACATCCCCAGACCGACTCCCCCTTGTCCCCCCTGTCCACCCATCCCCCCATCCCCTCCAGACCGACTCCCCCTTGTCCCCCCATCCATCAATCCCCCCCAGAACCCCCCAGACTGACTCCCCCTTGTCCCCCCATCCGTCCATCCTTCCCAACACCCCAGACTGGCTCCTCATGTCCACCCATCCCCCCCAACACCCCTGGGCTGTTTCCCCCTCTCTCCCCTGTCCATCCATCCCCTCCAACACCCCCAGACTGACTCTCCCTTGTCCCCCTGTCCACCCACCCCTCCAACACGCCCAGACTGACCCCCCCATTCATCCATCCCCCCCGTCCATCCATCCGCCCCCAACACCCCCAGACTGACCCCCCCTTGTCCCCCCATCCCCCCAACACCCCAGACTGACTCCCCCTTGTCCCCCTGTCCATCCCCCCCCCAGCACCCCCCAGAATGTGACTCCCCCTGTCCATCCACCCCCCCAACACCCCAGACTGACTCCCCCTTGTCCCCCTGTCCACCCACCCCTCCAACACCCCCAGACCGACTCCCCCCTGTCCCCCCACCCCCCCAACACCCCCGACTGACCCCCCGCTGTCCCCCCTCGTGTCCCCCCGCGCAGGCAGGACAAGCTGAAGGTGCACATGCGGAAGCACACGGGGGAGAAGCCGTACCTGTGCCAGCAGTGCGGCGCCGCCTTCGCCCACAACTACGACTTGAAGAACCACATGCGAGTGCACACCGGGCTCAGGCCCTACCAGTGCGACAGCTGCTGCAAGACTTTCGTCCGCTCCGACCACTTGCACAGGCACCTTAAAAAAGATGGATGCAACGGGATTCCCTCGAGGAGAGGCCGGAAACCCCGGGTGAGAGACGCGGCCGCCGCGCCCGCCCCGGCGGGGGGAGCAGCCGCCGAAGATGGAAGTTTTGCGGCCGGTGGGGAGAGCCAGGAATCAGAGGACACCCCCCCGTCCCAAGGGAACGACCAGGAGCAGCAGCACTTTGAGGAGAATTCAAACAATGAAGCGCCGGGATTGAATGTAGCAGGAGGAGGAGGAGGAGGAGGGTCGGAGGAGGGGAACGCGCAAGGACTCTCCTAAACCAAAAAACAAAACAAACAAAAAAACCAACAACAACGACAAACAACAAACCCCACACACCCGAAAACGAAGTCACAAAATCTAGTTAGTACTTTTCCTCCGATTTTTTTTCTCTTTAAAGATGTTTCTCTCCCCCTTTTTTTTTTTTTTTTTTTTTAAGAAAAAAAAAAAAAAAGCCCGGAAAAAAAACCCGACAACAACAACAACAAAAAAGATTATATTATATATATATATTAACGTTTCCAACCTTTCCCCCATCGTAAAGCAGGGATCCCCCCTTCCCCCCGAGGATCCCTCGTAGCCAAGGACCTTTTCTTGGAAAGGCAAGGAAAAGAAAAAAAAAAAAAACAGCACGAGGTGGGGATGGAAAGTGGCTCTGTCGGCATGGAAAAGAGCTTCCATGTAAATCCAAAGCTTTATTTTGTGTCCAAACGTGTGTTTAAAAAAAAAAAAAAACAAAGAAACGAAAAACTTATTTCAGAGAAAGAGATCGGGTTAAGACAAAAAAAAAAAAAGGAAAAAAGAAAAACAGGAAAAGAAAAAAAAAGGAGGAGCGGCAGGAGTTTGGAAGGGCTGCGGCAGGGAGGGATTTTGGGAGCTGGGGGGGTGCCAGGGGTGTCCCTGCAGCCCCCTGGGAGGAGCAGGGGCTCGGAGGGAGCTGCATCCCAGGGGATTGGGGTCAGGATTTGGGGTCTGTCCCCCCCCCCAGCCCCACCCCGTGCGAGGCTCGGTTTGGCAGCGAAGGCTCCGGGTGGGAAATGGCCAAAAATCGCTGGGAATTGCCTAAAAAAATCATGTGAGGAGAAAGGCAGCGGGTTTGGCAGGGCTGGGGACACCCAAGGGGGGGGATGAGGCAGGGATGGGACACCCAGAGTGGGGACACCACCCTGGGGTGGGGGAACCCAGATTGGGGACACCCAGACTGGGATGGGGGAACCCGGACTGGGGACACCCACCCTGGGATGGGACACCCAGACTGGGGACACCCATCCTGAGATGGGACACCCATCCTGGGATGGAGACACCCAACATGGGGACACCCATCCAGGGATGGGACACCCAGATTGGGGACACCCAGACTGGGATGGGGGAACCCAGACTGGGATGGGGAACCCAGATTGGGGACACTCACCCCAGGATGGGACATCCCATCCTGGGATGGGACACCCGACATGGGGACACCCATCCAGGGATGGGACACCCGGACTGGGATGGGACACCCGGACTGGGATGGGACACCTGGACTGGGGACACCCATCCTGGGATGGGGGAACTCGGACTGGGGACACTCACCCTGGGATGGGACACCCAGATTGGGGACACCCATCCTGGGATGGAGACACCTGAACTGGGGACACCCATCCAAGGGTGGGGACACCCAGATTGGGGACACTCACCCTGGGATGGGACACCCACACTGGGGACACCCATCCAAGGGTGGGGACACCCAGATTGGGGACACTCACCCCAGGATGGGACACCCACACTGGGGACACCCATCCAAGGGTGGGAACACCCAGACTGGGGACACCCATCCACAGATGGGGGAACCCAGATTGGGGACACTCACCCTGGGATGGGACACCCAGATTGGGGACACCCAACCATGGATGGGACATCCCACCCTGGGATGGGGACATCCAGACTGGGGACACCCACCCTGGGATGGGGACACCCACACTGGGAACACCCATCCGAGGGTGGGGACACCCATGGATATCAACACCTGGAGCTGGGGACACCCACCCAAAGCTGGGAACACCCACCTGGAGCTGGGAACACCCCGGGCTGGGGGTCCCCAGCTCCGTGTCCATCCCTGTGTCCATCCCTGTGTCCATCCCCGTGTCCATCCCCGTGTCCATCCCACGTCCGTCCCCATCCCGGGAAGTGCCTGAGCCGGCCCCAGCCCCCCCTGCCGGCAGAATTTGGGGCTGGGGGTGCCCAAAATCCCCCTTCCCCCTCCCCCAGGTTCATTTTTCCCCCCCACAAAAAAAAAACCGCCTGGAAACGGCAAATTCCTTTGGGAAAAATGAAAAAAAAAAAATTAAAAAAAAGGTTATTTTTGGTCTCCCTTAAAGGAGCAGGAGGCCTTTGGGAAGGGGGGGGAAAAGCTCTGGCACCCCCCCAGCCCCATTCCCAAAAAAGAAATATATATATATATATATAGATAGATAGATTTATGGCTGGAGAGGCGGGTCCCGACCCTCGGGGGGGGGAAAAAAAAAAGGCACCTTTGAGCTGGTCACCTGTTTTCTAAAAATGCACATTTTTAAATGATATAAAAAAAAAAAAAACAGAAAAGAGAGATTTTAAGAAAGCCCTTTTATTTTCGAAGCACTTTTTAG